AATACGTTTCGACCTGCCAGGTTGTCGGAGCACTCAAGCGTTTCGCCGTTGCGTATCCCGAGAAGATCCCAGCCGCTCGTTTATTACACGTGTACGGCGCGGAGGTTTTTCTGATCAGCTATAAATAGTCCCGAAACTTCAGGTCAAACCTTACGTTTCCTGAATTTCTGGAGTTCGATCTGAAAGCAGCTCGAACCCTTTCTGTAGGTCAGTCGCTTTTCTTTGCTTTTACTMTACTTTTAGACATGGTAGTTTTCTTGTCTTCCCCCTCCAGTAGCGATAGCTTGGGTAGTTTAGGTCGGACGATAAGCAGTTCGCCCCCCAAACCAAGTGACTCTCGGGAGGTCTTAGGTCGTAGGTTAGAGTCCGAGCTTGAAGAAATAGAGAACTTTAGGTTCTCAGATGATGGAGAGGATAGCGATACCTCCACCTCGGGCCAGGGTCTGGAGTACCCTTCTAAGATGCCCGAGCACTATCTTGGACCCCTTCGTAGGGGGTTTAACATTCCGAATGACATCCTCCTTAGGATTTCGGAGGAAGGGGAAAGAGCTGACAATCCTCCAGAGGGATGGGTCACTCTTTATTTGAAAATGTTTGAGTACAGCCTCAGACTTCCTCTTCATCCCTTTGCTCTATGGCCTCAGACTTCCTCTTCATCCCTTTGCTCAGGAGTTCTTAAACCGAACTGGACTAGCTCCTGCTCAAGTGGCCCCCAATGAGTGAGGTGTTATTTTTGCTTTAGCCATTCTTTTTTGGTTGCGAGCTCGGGATGAGGATGAGGCCGAGCTGCTAAGTGTTGATCAGCTCCTTGGGTGTTTTGAGGCCAAGAGGATAGCCAAAAAACAGGTCGGTACTATATGTGTGTGGGTGGTATAGTCAAGGGGCCGACCTCCATCAAAGGATGGGTAGGCAAGTGGTTCTTTGCCTCTGGAGAATGGTTGGCAAAGGACGAATCAGGTCGTCCTTTCTTTGATGTGCCTGCTACGTTTGGGAACCTAGGTATGGAGTTCTTCTTATTTTCTTTTTCTTTTCATTTCTTGATATTCACATCTAACTCGAACTTTTGTTTATTTTATGCAGTATCGATCAAGCCGATTCCCGAGCTCGCTCAAGCCACGTTCGACACCCTCAAATTCTACAAGGATAACTTCCCAAGGGGCCGGAAGATCGGGACCTTGGTCACCGACAAGCTGCTGCTAGAATCAGGGCTATTGGACTACAATCCTTTAGTTCGTCCAATTGAAGCTTCGAGGCCAAACTCCGAGCTCGGTAAGTCGTGTTTGATCTCAATCTCAATTTTAGCTTCAAGTTTTTTTAATTCTAACATTTCTTCTTATTCGTACTGCAGCCATGGTGTGTGGATTCACGAGCAGCGTGAAACGTAAGTCTAAGGGTCGTGCTCACGCCCTTAAGATAGTCCAAAGCTCTGACCCAGTTACTCCTGCTGTGGATCAGAATGCCGCTCAGGACCAGGCGGGTCCATCTTCTGCAGCTCCAACTCCGGTGATTGAGTTGGATTCTACAGGGGAGCGCTCCAGGGAGAAGCGTTCGAGGAGCGAGTCCGAGGCCTTGGACGTGTCACCTCTTCGTGAGGTGAGAGAGGGCTCTCCTCT